TGGGGTGATCATACCAACATGGGACGTGGCCGGGAGACATGAGTGTGTAAGCAATGGGTGGAGACCTATACAGCACTGGATTCGCCCTAGGGGTGGTTGACTCATCAGCTCGGGGGACCAGCCATCCTGGTTCGTCCAGGTAGAGGGGTTTCCTGGGAGGCTGGACTTTGGGTTCTAAAACCAAGACAGTCCCGAGCAAACTACGACAGTTGGTTACCTTATTCCCAGCCCCAAATATCAACATTTTTGAAGCTAAAAGCTTTCATTTAACTTCTGGGCATACACACCGAGGAAACCAGATCTGAAAGAGACACGTGCACCCCAATGTTCATCGCAGCACTGTTTATAATAGCCAGGACATGGAAGCAACCTAGATGCCCATCAGCAGACGAATGGATGAGGAAGCTGTGGTACATATACACCATGGAATATTACTCAGCCATTAAAAAGAATTCATTTGAATCAGTTCTAATGAGATGGATGAAACTGGAGCCCATTATACAGAGCGAAGTAAGCCAGAAAGATAAAAACCATTACAGTATACTAACACATATATATGGAATTTAGAAAGATGGTAACGATAACCCTATGTGCAAAACAGAAAAAGAGACTCCTATGTATAGAACAGACTTGTGGACTCTGGGAGAAGGCGAGGGTGGGATGTTTCAAGAGAACAGCATTGAAACACGTATATTATCTAGGGTGAAACAGATCACCAGCCCAGGTTGGGTGCATGAGACAAGTGCTCGGGCCTGGTGCACTGGGAAGACCTAGAGGGATTGGGTGGAGAGGGAGGTGGGAGGGGGGACCGGGATGGGGAATACATGTAAAAAAAAAAAAAAAAAAAAAAGATACACTATGGTTGTGATAAAAAATAAATTAATTAATTAATTAAAAAAAAATAAATAAAAGCAAATACAAAAGCCGAACCCAGATTGTATAGGGAACAGACCACCTTGCCTTGCAGCCTCGTGTGCCCCTAGACTGACTGTCTCTCTCGCTCCAGCCCAGGGGCCTGGGACTGCTTTCCTCAGGCGGGACAACCCATCTCAGAGGGAGCGAATCCCTTCCCCACCCTCTGCTCTAGCTCACGGATCCACCCTAACACCACCTGGGAGGGAACAGGAAGTCCTCACACTTTCCACAAATCAACAAGCTGACCTCAGCTGACAAGAGGCAGCGCTTCCTGCGGCCAGGGTCTCTCTCCCCAAGCAGGTGGGTCAGGTCATTCCTTCCATCTCTGCTTCCAGGACAGAAGCCAACCTCCTCTTTCTGAACTGACCCGGCACCCTCTTCATCTTCACCCTCACCTCCAAGCTCCCCCCATACGCACCTTTTTCCAGATTCTGAGACCTAAGCCCTGGGGTGCCTGCCAGGTCTGGAGCCCCCTTCCTTCCCTGTTCATCCTTCAGCCTCAGCCCGGCGGTGGATGGGTGCCTGACCTCCCAGATGCCTCCCCTGACCTCCTGACAAGGCCAACATCCCTACCATGTGCTGCCGTCTCCGCCAAGCTGGGAGCTCCGTAAACGCAGGGACAAGGAGCACTGGCGGCATTGGCTACCGAGAGCTCAGGGCCTTCCCACTGTCTGCCATGGAGTCACCCACGCGCCACAGATCTGTTTGGAATGCATGGAGCCGAGAAGCCCCAGGTTTAACCCCTGCCCTCTCACGCCTTTCCCACAGGGCTGCAGACAGGCTCTCTCTCGACCACTACCTGTTAACCCTTCCCTTTGCCCTGCCTGCAGCCTGGCCGAGGCCACGTCCCAGTTTAAGAGTTACCCCACCTTGCTCCCCTCCCCTCCTTTGCAAGGAAATATTTCTGTTTTATGACTAACTCTGCTCCTCATTTCTCTCGCGTTATCTTAATGAATTAACTGGGTCCCCATCGTTCCCCAGGGCCCCCCACGGTTTATGAGCTGTACAACAATATCTGCGATCTTAGTCAACCCACACAGTTGTTGTGCTGGTTCCTATTACAGTAATTGGCATAAACTTTATTCTTTTGCAGAGAGATTTTTTTTTGGCCCACTGAGACTGCATAACCATCTGCCATAAATTGAGACTAGTACGGCTTATTTTGGTGAATGCAAAATTGGATCCCATTCTTTACTCTGTGGCTTGATTCAACTTCCAGATGGTTAATCCACATGAAGTAATAGGAATGCACCACAGCTCTGCTTAGCTGAAGATGGAGACGTAATATTTATTTGCTGATGTGGAGGCCTCCGAACGCTGCCCTGTCGAGATGTCAGTATAAAACGCAGCGGCACAAAAATGTCAACTTGTCCACAGGAGCGACGGCGTTCCCCCGAGTTGCCACGGCGGATCCCCGATGTCATCTTTTTTTTTCCTTCCCGTCTGCCCTTGACCTAATCTCAAGGGGTTAGTTCTCTCCTGGGCTGTTTCTTATCAGCTACGTCCGCCCATGGAGCCGGCTTCGCATCTGCTTTGACTTTAGTGCCTGTGACATTTTCATTAATGCTTCTTCAAGGTTGAGCCTTGATTCCAAATATCCTGCAGCTCACAGAAGCCGAAGCTCAGCTGTGCCTGCCTGGGGGGCTGCTGGGAAAACTGGCCCGGTGGTACCAACAAGCTCAGACATCTCCACCCATAATCAATCCGTTTTCATTGTTATTTCTCCCCCACACTAGCTTGCCACACTGGGGGATGGGATGCTCAGATCTAGGTCAGCAGATTCGGGGGGCTTAACCCTCAGTTGTGCTTCTAGTCCCAGGAGTCTTGACTGCCCTGTCTGCCAGGATTACACATCCCCACCAGCCAACCCAGGTGGCTCAATGGTAAAAGAACCCACCTTCCAAGGCAGGGGATGTGGGTTCCATGCCTAGGTAGGGAAGAACCCCTGGAGAAGGAAAAGGCTAGCCACACAAGTGTTCTTGCCTGGGAAATCCCATGGACAGAGGAGCCTGGTGGGTTACAGTCCATGGGGTTGCAAAGAGTTGGACATGACTTAGCGACTAAACAACAACAACCAGCGAACTTTGCCCTTGCAAACTCGCTCTGGACTTTACAGCCTGGCCATGTTCCCCACCCCATCCCAGGGAAAACTGGAAACCCTCAAATATCCTGGGGAAGACTGGGGCTCCAGGCCTCCTCTCTCCACCTGCCCAGGTCCCTGGGAGCCACCTGCATTTGAACCACTGGAGGATCATGTTAAAAATGCAGACTTCTGGACTGAGGGAGACAGACTATCCCAGTTTGCTCAGAATGATCCTAGTTTTAGCACAGAAAGTCCCATGTCCTAGACTTTCCACGTCACTCTACTTGGGCCCCACCCCAGACCCCAGAAGAACTACTGCTGAGGACTCAGGCCAAGGGATCTAATTTTGATCATTTCCCTTGTGGTGATGGAGCACTTGAACTGGGGAACCACAAGTACACTCAGGGCCCACGTTCCCTCACTTTGCCTAAGTGTAGCACATGATGCCCTTATCGCTTTCTTGTGTAGACTATCTGCTTCACTCAGTGTGAATTCCTCAAGGGAAGGGCTCAGCCCAGTTTGCTTTTGCCTTCAGTTCCCAGCTCTCTGTCTGGCCCACAGTTGACACTCAAACCCAGTGAAGAAATAACTGGATGCAAGCAAATATCCATGGTAGGGAAAGTGACCCAGACCTGTTTCCCACATACTCTTCCAAAGTTCTGGGGTGGATTCGATTAGAAATTAGATCAAGGAAATTCTAGAAGGGCAGGAATTGGATCTAGGATATTTTGTTAAGGGAGTGAAAACCCTGAATGTTCCAAGATCGAACAAATAAGGAATTAGATCTAAGAAATTCTAAACTGGAATGGACTGGAACCATGAACATCCTAAGACAGAATTGCTTTCTTCCTTAATCATCACGGGAGCTTCTGCAGGCAGAAAGAACAAGAGGCCAGATGCCTTGTACCTGATTATCGAAGCCTAGCATCCCTTAGTGCTTTCAAATGTTTAAAATCTGCAGCTCCTCAAATAATCACAGCTGTGCATGAAGACGGACTTTTCTCTAACTTGCGTGTGAGGTCTCCAGGCCGGATGATGGGGACCAGGGAGCCCAGGAAATGGGCTGAGCTGAGGGGAAGGAGTGGGAGCCAGCATCTGGCCCTGGCAGGATCCCAGCATCAGGATCCTTCATGCCTCACCCTGGGCAGAGCTCAGCCAGGTGATGACTCTCCTCTTCTCTGGGTATGGCTTTGAAGTAGGTGCAAACACAAAGGATTATTTGTATGGGTTTTATGCATCTGTGAAAACACTGAGGTTGACCCAAGGTCCTGGTCCCAAACCCTGTTCACGATAATCCCACTGGTAAGAAGGAGTGCATGCAAGAAGCAGAGTCCTCAAAAGCAAAAGGGGAGCCCAGGGATCACCTGAACAGGCATCAGGCCCATTGGATTTAGTGGCAGTCAGCATGGTTGTCCAAGTGGATAAAGCAAAGCCCAGTGACAGGCTGTGGTGGAGGGAACTGAGGACACAGCCGAGCAGGTGATGTGCCTTCCCACCCCGCCCCCCAACCCTCCCAACACCCCCACCGACTGAGTCCTGTGCACCTCTCCCACCCCACATCCCCATACAGGTTCCAATGGGCTCCGCCTTGAACTCAGGTCTAAAATTTGGCCCTTCTCACCACACCTGCCTCAACAAACCAAACCCAGCCCAGCCACCATCCTCTCCCTGGACTGTTGCTCAAGACGTTCCTAACTGGCCCCTTTCTCCTCCCACAGAGAAGCCAGAGTGGCTCTCTTAAGCGACAAACCGTATAGCCCTTCTCTGCTCAAAGTCCTCCCAAGTGACTGAGAGCGACTTGCTGGGCCCACCTGTGCCAACCCCTTCCCGCTCTCCTCTCCTGGACTCCACACTCCAGCCAAGCCAGCCTCCCGCAGGCCGGCTCCCGGCCGCTCCCCTCGGGGCCTCCGCTCCTGCTGCCTGGGACACGGCCCCCAGACCCCCTCCCGGCTCCCTCTCCTGCCTCCCTCAGATGCCCTCACGTGCCCCCTCCCCACTCTAGGGGGCCTTCTCAAGCCACCTTCCCTGAAACAGCCCCACCCCGCCGCAGCGCCCACCGCAGCTCGGCGCCCTTCGGAGCACTCACCACCACCTGCACCATGTGAGTCGTGTGTGTGCCTACCGCTTGTCTCTTCCCACTGGACTAGGAGATCCATGAGAGCTCGTTTCCCGAGGCCCTCCTGCCCGGAACCCTGTGTGGGCTGTACTAGGTGCTCAGTGAGCACGTGCAAGTGACTCACTCCAGCACTGCTCCCACGTTACAAGAGGCTGGTGAACCACACGGTAGATGCAAAGATCACAGTATAACTGAACAGGGCTGTCCAAATGTAATGATGGCCATTAGCGTCACTCCACCCCAGAGCGGCGATTCTAGAGCATTCTGTGTAATTGGAATACAATTAAGCATATGGTAGCGTTTCCGCCAGGCCATAGATCTGATTCAGAGCCTCCCCGACATGGGCTCTGGTTTCTTTCTCTTCCCTGTAACAACAAACCTGGATGCAGCATCGGGCGGGCCCTGCGGTCTCGGTCACAGGGGAATACCAAGGAATGAGATTCATGCTAACAAGATTTAATCCTGAGACGTTGGGCTATATATCCAGTGGCGATTTCCTGGATTTTGCAGCCAACATAAATAACAGTGAGAGGATTCCCGCTGCGTGACGTGAGGTTCGTCCTACCGGTCTGGGCCAGGATGGACGGCTGTTGATGGACGAGGCAGGGCCCCCTGGTGGAATCCGTGGAGTTGCACCCCACTGGCCCCCCCTCCACCTCTACCTCCACCCCTGTATCAGATCACTCCGCAAAGCATACTCAGGGTGAGGGGGCCAACAGCAGAGATGAAAATTAAGACACGTATTTGGCACCCAGTCCAGCCGAGCAGTGAAATCCCTTGTCTGTATGTACAAATCATGAATTTTCCAATTGGACTGCATGCTTCCTGGGGGTGAGGTCTGTACTATGTAGGCAGCCAGCTTACGTAAACTTGGAAGTCATTCGTGGCACCTCATTTTCATAAAAGGAAATGAAGTGTGTGGTAGGGTAGGGTTAGAGATAACTTACATTGTGGGGAAATGGACAGATAAAATAAGGGATGTTCATAAAATGGAGTAGTATACAGTAGCTAAAAGGAGTGAGCAAGGATGAATCTTTGAAAATTTACACCAACGAAGAAAAGAAAATGGCAAATGAGCCACAGAGGATGATATCACTTACATTCATTTAAAAAACCAGTAAACCTGGGGGACTTCCTTGGTGGTCTGGTGGTTAGGACTCGGTGCTTCCAACACAGGAGGGCATGGGTTCGATCCCTGGTTGGGGAACTAGAATGCCACCTGCCAAGTGGCATCATGGCCACAAAATTAAAAAAAATAATAAATTAAAATCACCTACCCAAGGCAATGTTTTTAAAGGGGTGGCAGGTGTCCTGGAAGGCTGAAATGACCTTAAATACATAATGCCCATGTCTGTGGTAGCAAGGAGCGAAACAGATTGGCAGGGGAGGGTCTGTCTAGACAGATGACGACACTGAGCTGCTCACAGATGAGTGTCCTTGAAGGAATCAGTTCATCCCTGTCATCCGCTGATTAAAGGCGAGTCAGTCAGGCTCCCAGCATCTCCCAGCCTGGGCCTGGGTCCCAGAGCCTCGGTCTGCCTGCTCAGTGGGTCTTCTTTCAATGCCTGTTCAATTCATGGGACTCCGGCCTTCATGAAACTGACATAGCTAGGGGCACTTTCTCAGCCAAAAGATCCTTTATCGAATCCTGAGTGTGAAAATCCATGTTTAGTGCCTTCTCCTCTCCCCGTGAGAATCTACGGATCCCTTCATTTGTAGACCTGTAGAGAACATCGGCACATCTGCTCATTCTTGCCGTTGTTTCTGTACTGTTTTCTGCCCTGCTCGTTCCACTACGGGAGTCTGATTCAGCCGCATCATCCCTTCCTTGGAGGCCTTCTTGTCTCTTCCGAGACCAAAGTTCTCTTTGGTTCTTTTTTTTTTCCTTTTTCTTCTCTTTTATTCAACCCACTTGTCTTTTTTTTTTTTTTCTTAATTATTATTATTGGAGGATAGTTACTTTACAATATTGGGTTGGCTTCTGCCATACATCAACATGAATCAGCCATAGGTATACACGTGTCCCCTCCTTCCTGAACCTCTCCCCCACCTCCCACCCCATCCCATCGCCCCCCTAGGCTGTCACAGAGCACCGGGTTTAAGCTCCCTGAGTCATAGAGCGATTTCCCACTGGCTACCCATTTTACACATGGGGAAGTGTATGTTTCAATGTTACTCCCCCAATTTGTTTCACCCTCTCCTTCCCCAACTGTGTCCACAAGTCTGGTCTGTGTCTGCGTCTCCACTCCTGCCCTGCAAATAGGCTCAGTAGTACCATTCTTCTAGATTCCATATACATAAAGAAGTTGTGGTACATATATACAATGGAATATTACTCAACCATAAGAGGAATGCATTTGAGTCAGTTCTAATGAGGTGGATAAACCCAGAGCCTGTTATACAGAGAGAAGTAAGTCAGAAAGAGAAAAATGAATATCATATATCAACTGACTTGTCTTGAAGAACTTCTTTGTGCCATGAACTCTTCTGAGTGGGATTTTTATTTATTTATTTATTTTTTTGAGTGGGATTTTTAGATGTCAATGCAAGATAGTTTCTCTTCTCAGAGGGAATTCAAATTCAGTATCTCTCCTTTCCCAGGCAGACTGACAAGCAAGGCCAGGGGTGGAGAAACAGGGATGCCCAAAGAAAGAGTGCTAAGCAGGAACTTCTATAAACGCCACCAACCACGGGGCATGCAGGCTGAGGAGGGCGGGCAGAAACGAGAGGGAAGTGGGAACTGGGCCTATGAGGAATGGTGGAAGGCCCTGGAAGCCCACAGTCCATTTCAGAGAGAGAGGATCTCTCCACCTGCCCGCAGCCCTTGGGGATCCAGTAATGCAAGTTTGGGGGAAGGGGGGCCTCAGTGGGGAGTCCACACAGGTTGAGACAATTAGGGGGATAGTTGGGGCTGAGTCATCTTGGCAGAGGCCGGGAGGAGGGTGTTGGGGGGGGTGGGTGGGGCCCCCATCAGCATAATTGCTCCCGACTTCTGCTTCTCTTTGACATGGCAGTAAAATAAGTTAATCCATGGCTCAAATAAGGGTTGAGTCTCCTCTTGCAACATGTCATTAACAGCAAAAATCTGCCTAAACCTGACACCAGAATGACCTGGTGAGGACCCTGTCCCAGGGCAAGGAGCAGGGAACAGGGGGAGAAAAACAGGCAAATCATATCCCCACCCCAAGCCTCATAACCTCAGTCTGGGCAACAGGAATTATACTGTATTCCATCAATTCTAAAAAAGTAATTTTTTTCCCTCTTGCATTTTAATATCTCTAAAATTGGGATATGGTGTCTTAGGTTTGATGACATACTGTGATAAGAAGAGAAAAACACAAGAATCACTACTGTTTAGGGAATGCTTACTCCATGCCATGAATTGTGCTGCTGGTATAGAGAGTCCCTTGGACAGCAAGGAGATCAAACCAGTCAATCCTAAAGGAAATCATTTCTGAATATTCACTGGAAGGACTGATGCTGAAACTGAAGCTCCAATACTTTGGCCACCTCATACAAGAGCCAGCTCATTAGGGAAAAAAAAAACCCCGATGCTGGGAAGCATTGAGGGCAGCAGGAGAAGGGGCCAATAGAGGATGAGATGGTTGGATGGCTTCACTGACTCAATGCAGATGAGTTTGAGCAAATTCCAGGAGGTGGTGAAGGACAGGGAAGCCTGCCATACTGCAGTTCATGGGGTCACATAGAGGTGGACACAACTTAGGGACTGAACACCACCACTCCACAAAAGGCACCATTTCTAGGAACTTTGCAGTTTAATCCTCTCAACAACGTGCTGAAACAAATACTGATTCCATGCCCTTTCTGTGGAAGGAAAGATGTGATTATTCCCTAGACACTGTCTGTGCTCCCGTCACACTGACCTTTCTGTGTCCCTCCACAGGCCCTCTTCGTATGCTGTGTCTGCTGCTGGGACACTGTTCTTCCCTTTCTTTGTTACCGACCGCAGCCTCCAGCCCCCAACCCGTGTGGCGCTTCCCCGGGGAAGCCCTCTGTGACTCCCACATTCGCAGGGCATCGTATACCCCTCCTTTTTCTGTTCGGACTGTATAGCTTCCTGCACTATTGAATGCCTCCTCCTTATTTTGTCCATAAGCTCCATGAGGGCAGGAGCTGTGCCTTTTTTTTTTTTTTTTTCCTGCTCATGGCACCTTCTGTTCCTCCAGGGGCACAGGGTCAACACTTGATAAATAACTGCAGAGGAGCTTGTGTCTAAAGAAAACTCCTGAACGAGTGACTCAGAAGCAAACTATGTGGGGTTGGGGTAGGGGAGGAGAGAGATCTGTGTTTGTTTGCCTGGGCTGGAGGACAGGGGCATGTTCCAGGCCAGGCTGGCTGCCTTCGTGCCCCTTGTCTGTGAAACAGGGAGAAGACATGCGCCTTAATGCGGTCTCAGGGAGAGTAAGTAAGCTGACATGAGAGCCGGGCCCAGCACGGCCAGCTCAGCGGTCACAAGCCACTTCTTCCGCTTGCCTTCAAAGAAGAGGCTTTGGACCCTACAGTGTGTGAGGCTCTAGGAGTCTGTGGAGCCTGGAACCGGAAAGCTTGGGGATGCGCCACGTGTGTGAGGCCGTCACCTACTGTGAAGTCGTAGTTGCTGGGTCACATTTAATTGCGCCCTAAAGAGCAGATGGCCACACCGGGGGCTCTGACACACTGCTCTGTTTGCCCGACTGGCAGCGCTGCCCCAGTGGGCACGGGGGCCTTTGTGCCGAGACTCATGCAAAAGTCAGGCTATAGCCATGAGGGTATTTTTCAGTCAATTCTTATCTGTTGTGGGGACTTCTCTGGCTCTGGCTCCCTTTTGGTCTGCAGTGGGGAACTTGAGACCAAGTCTTAGTGGAGACAGCCAGAGGCGCAGGGATGGTGGAGGAGGAGGAGAGAAGGCCTTGGAGGCAAGGGTTTTGTCTTCAGCTCCTAAGAGCTGAAGGCCTGGGTGGGGAGGCAGACAGGATTATAGAGGGACTCAGTCAGCTGCCTGGCTCCTCTCAGCAGCCACCACCTGCAAACAGTGTCACCTCCATGAGCCTCAGTTTCCTCACCTCTAAAATGGGAGTAATAGCATTTATAGGATGAGGGGGTACAATTGGAAAGAAACTTTAAATAAACAACCCAAGGTGCTGCAATTCTGACCACCCCTTTCAGTCCACGTTCCCACTCCGTCTTGTCTGCACACACTTGGCTTATGTGGCTGCAGGCATAACGTGCATTTTGCTTTTCCTAACCTTCTGTTAGATCACAATTCTCCACATTTTTACATGCTTCTTGTGGATTACATTTTTTTTTTTTTGGCCACACTGCACACCATGTGGGATCTTAGTTCCCCAACCGAGGATCAATCCATGCCGCCTGCAGTGGAAACACAGGGTCCCAACCACTGAACTGCCAGGGAATTCCCATGGTTTACATTTCTAATGGTTGCTAAACTGGCCATTATAGGTATGTCTCAGGAGTAACTAAAGCACACATGCCCAAAGCCACAGAATGTACACACAAATACACACACATGCTCACACTCACACAATTTCTGTCAACTGTGAGGTGTTCAGACTGCTCCTACATTTCCACCATGGGAGACAACATCTTCATATAGATAATTTGTTTTTGCCATTTTTAAATGATCTCCTGAGGATGAATTTCAAATTGGGAGATCCCTCGGCCTAACTCTGTTACTCTGCCATTTTGAAGAAGGGGTACATTAAGGATGGCATTTCCAGCAGGCTGTTAGACACAGGGACAGACCACACTGGTGGCAGTGAGCCTCCAGTGCCTGGAGGTGTGCAGGACAACTGGGGCCGTTGCTCACTGTCTGTCGGCGTCATGGTGTGTCAGGCCTGTGTTAGCTGCTGAGGACACGGGGGACACCGTCTCGGCCTTCCTGGAGGCGGAGGGAAAGGAGACAGAAAGGTAAAGGACAGTGACCTCACAGCATGCACTCTGTGGGGCTGCTCAAGGCTGTTTGCTCCCCTTCTCATGCTGTGAAGACCCCACTCCAGGCAACCACAGCTCTGCATGTGGGAATGAATTGTGCCTGGGCGACAGGTCACTGTGCTCTCACATGCTTCACGGACCCCAGCTCCATGACCTGCAGCCCTTTCTTCATGCCTCTGACATGAAGTGATTTGTCCTGGGGGCTTCTAGGCCCCACTCAATGCCTACCTCTGGACCAAAGATTTCTTGAGGACTCCTTTTAATCTGTGCCTGCAGAATGACTGGCTATTGAGATGGGGCTTGCATGAGGGCAGCCTCTAGAGATGCTGCTTCAACTTCTGAGAGTCCGTGGGCAGCTTCTCTAGGCTGTTTCCAAGGAGTATGCACAACTCCCACCCTACAGGAGCCACAAGGCGAACTGCTGGACTTAACGGTTGTCTGAACGAAGTCTAGAGACCTTGGGTTGCTGTGTGACCTTCTGCCACCCACTTCACCTCTCTGTTTCCACTTCAGGAAAGGGGCATGGTAATACAGGGAGTTTCAGCTCAAGGCTGGGCTACTTCATTCCCTCCCTACAAGGTCCATTCTTGGTTCTGAACACCAGATAGGGCAAACTCGATCACAAGAGTTGTAAAATTATGGGTGTATCAGGGAAGGCCTGAGAACGAGCAGTCACAGAGCCATGAGAACACAAACTGGATGAGTATATACCATATATACCACTTCTCCCTACTCATCCCTGAATACCTGATACCTCTGCCAGGAATGGATACGCTACATAAATTGGGAGCTACTGTCCACCGATTGGGAGACAAACTGGAGATTGGTGTCCCCTAGACAGAGGGCACGGATGACAGTGTTAACAGCTGAGAACAAACCTCCCTGGACAGAGCAAGTTGATCTCCCTGGATTAAGTCCCCAGGGTGGGACAAGCTGCAGCAACCAGGCCCGTGATCGTCCATCTAAAACCTGGATGTATGTGGCCCAGCAGAAAACAGCTCCCTCTCTGATGGGCACTGCCCCGTCACACAGGGCCCAACTGACCCTGTTAAGCCTTATTGGAAAAGTGAAAGTGTCAGTTGTTCAGTCATATCTGACTCTGTGACCCCATGGACTATGCCCGCCAGGCTCCTCTGTCTAGGCAAGGGACACTGGAGTGGTAACCATTCCCTTCTGCAGGGGATCTTCCAGACCCAGGGATTGAATTCCGGTCTTCTGCATTGCAGGTAGATTCTTTACCATCTGAACCACCATTAGACCCTATCAGACCAGGTCAATCAGCCTGAAATACCCCTAGTCTCCTTGTAAAGAAACTTAGTGGAGGGACTCCGTTGGCAGCCTAGCGGTTAAAACTCCATGCTTCTATTGCAGGGGGTGTGGGTTCAATCCCTGGCTGGGGAACTAAGATCTTGCAAGCCACATGGCACAGCCGAAACAGAAATAAATAATACCCAGGGGGGAATACTGGATGGTACAGGACCACAGGACAGCCAGTGAAGCCACCGAGGGTACATGTCCAGTGGTCTCTAATCCGTATGCCTCACTAGCCACTCTAGTGTCCACCAGGACCTGCTATTCTGTATTAGATTTAAAAGATGCCTCCTTCTGTATTTCGTTAGCTCCAGAGTCACAAGACATTTCTGCTTTCCAGTGGCAGGGCCGAAACACACAACAAAAAAAACAACAATACTGCTGGACTGTCCTGCCCTGAGGGTTCAAAAATCCCCCCATCATCTTTGGGGAAACTTTAGCTAAAGACCTAAAAGATCTCCATCTGGAGAAGGAAACCCTCCTACAACATGTTAGACAACATTTATATCTCCAGCTGTAACCACCCTGAGTCACTGAGCTGATAAAGGATATAAGGTGTCCAAGGAAGAGGCTCAGATGTCACAAACTAGGGTGACCTAGGTACGCTTCATTCTCACAGAAGGTCAGAGCAGCCTTCCCCCGGTAAGGAAAGAAGCTACTTGCAGTCTTGCCCCTTCTAGAATTGGAAGACAGCTTCGGGGTGTTTCCTGGGGATGGCTGGATTTTGCCACATCTGGTTCCCTAACTATGATCTAATACCTGGGCCTCTATATGAAACGTTGAAAGGAAAGGATGACGATCCTTTTGAATGAAATTCAGAATGGGAAGGGGCCTTTCAAGAGTTGAAAAAGCAATTACTTCAGGCCCTCACCCTGGGCCTCCCAGATTTAGCTAAACCCTTGACCTTTGTGTTCATGAGAGAAGGAGGATCACCCTTGAGGTATGTGCTCAAAAACTGGGACCCCCCCCACACCCCGGCGCCTTGGACTTCCCCAATGGTCCAGTGGTTTAGACTCAGAGCTTCCACTGCAGGGGCACAGATTTGATTCCTGGCTGGGGAAGTAAAATCTCACTGAGCTGTGTAGCGGGGCAAAAAAAAAAAAACAAACCAAAAAACCACACACACACACAACCCCAAAACACCAACAACCCCCCTCAAAAAAAAACCTGGGACCCCTCACTTGGGGGGTTGTTTATTTCTCTAAGGAGTGACCTCCCTGCCTACCCACAGCGGAAGTGTGCAGTTTGGTCTGCCAATTGCAGTATGGACTCCACAGTAGGTTCAGGTTTTGCTAAGTTCTAAGGGAACAGAACGATATTGCCCCTCCAAAGTGGATTCAAGCTCAGGCTGTGCTTTTAGACAACCCAAAGGTTACCATGAAAACCTGTCACAGGCTACACCCAACCACACTGCTCCGCACAGAAACGGGGCCCGGAAGCATGATCCTACAGAAACCACAGATGAGATCCTCCTGACACCCCTATCTACGACGTGAGCCCCCACCAAGCGCTGACGGGGAACGGTTGACGGAGAGAGGGGAAGAGGCTGACAGGACATGCAGGGACCGCCAGACCCAAGTCACAGAAGCACGATGCCTCCCCCAAGGACTTCTGCCCGAAATGCCGAACCCACAGGCCTCCTGGAGCTTGCGAGCTTGTGATACAGTAGATCTTAGATGTTTACACAGACTCCCGATGCATGTGCCACCCGACACCCCCAGACCTGGGGCTCATCTCTTTCAGGAACAACTGAGCCATCTCGGGTCACTCAGAGATGCCGACGCTCAGGGCTGGGTGAAAACCAAACACATGTGAAGGCGGCCAGGAGCAGCTCTGCTCTCCCACCCATCACCATGAGGCCCCTGCCTCCCGGCAGGACGCAGCACAGAAGACAGACCTGCTCCCTCAGCGCCCCAAAGACCAAGGAGCCAGACGAGGGGCGGAGGAGGGGTTTGTCTGTCACCAGCAAAGCCCCCTAACAGTTCTCGGGAAATCAAAGTAGAATCTGGATATAATGAAGTCTAACCTTTTTTTTTTTTTTTCCTGTTTCCTCTGTGCTTAGTTTCACTCACTCAGAGAGTCACGTGCTGACGTTTCAAACCTTTCAGACCTCGAGCCAGAGTTCCTGGAGCAAAATGGCTGCACAGATACCTCAGTTCGGAGGGCGGCGTGCAGACGGGCTGCACACGACACTCAACTCAAGATGGCGGCGGCAGACTATGCTCTGGTGCCGGGAGCAGCACAGCTGTGCAGAACTCCGCCCTCTCCCCTTTGACCCTATAAAGTAGCCCTGCCCACAGCCTGCCCGGATACCTTGGACTGTGGAGCTTGCGTTTGCATTTCTCCATGCATTGATCAAAGAACTGGGACATCGCTGGTGATGCAGTGGTTAAGATTCTGTGCTTCCAAGGCAGGGGGTGCAGGTTCTATCCCTGGTCGGGGAACTAAGATCCCACATTCCCTGCAGTACAGTCAAAAAAAAAAAAAAAAAGATTAAAGCCTTCCTTTGCTCCTGAACTAAACTTGGTCTCATTCTATTGATTCCAATGACACTGGACAGGACTCTTGCTAGGGACCCACTTGGGAGGGTGGGTTATAAAAGTACAAATTTGACCTTGTCATTACTATTTAAATCCTCTCAAGGGATCCCCAGTGCCCTCTGGTTAAATTCAAAATTCCTTAGCCTGGAATTCAAGCTGCTCCTCTGTCAACAGCAGCCTCTCCTCCTGCTCTGTTCCTCGAGAAAACTGTATTCAGCTGTACAGCCACCAGCCTCTACAACTCTGTGCCCTTCCTTATGCTACTGCCTCCACTCAGACGTCTGTCCCTGCTGAAATGCCTTTCTGTGCTCAGTTCCAAGATCATCCCCAGCGGAGCCTGGCTGAGTTTTGCACACTGAAGTCACTCCCTCATAGAATCACTGCGATCATGTTATAAACACAGGTCCCCAGTTACCGAGCTGGGGTCCTTGGTGGTCTTCTGCTTCTTCTACTGTTTGACTTCCCCCTCTGACTCTTAGTTGCCTGGTCTGTAAAATGGGCATAATCAACGTGCAAATGTAGCCGGGAGGATGAAGTATGATAGTATTTATATAGATTCCCTAGTATGGCCAGGGACACTTAGCAGATGCTGTGTAATATTTGGAGAAGGAAATGACACCCCACTCCAGTGTTCTTGCCTGGGAAATCCCATGGACAGAGGAGCCTGGTGAGCTACAGTCTATGAGGTCACAAGAGTCAGACACGACTTAGCTACTAAACCACCACCACTGTTAACAGTTATGAGGGGCCATCATGATTACTCTCCTTTGTAGAGTGACCAACTGCCCCATCCACCCTAGGCTGAGAGGTATCCTTGAACGTAAGGCTTTTAGTTTTTAAAACTGGGAAGGTTTGGGGCAAGTCAGGACGAGTTGGGGGCCCTACATCTCTTGCTTTCTTCTCCTCGGATCAATGATCTTGCTTGCCTGCCTTGGTCCCTGCTGGCCAGTAGAAATCGTTGAATCTGGGGCCCCAGCTGAAAAGCTGGAAACCCCAACTGAAGAGATGTAGTGAACAAAAGCACAAACAGTTTTCGAACATATTAAGAATCGATATTTTCCTTCCAGGAGTGATGTGGTCTGCATGTTACCCTTTATTCCTCTGAAGGGGTCACATTGTAACCAC